CTGCCCCTGATTTAAAGGATTTTTAAAAAAACACTTATTCATGATGTCTATACATGTCTATATATGATAATTTAAGACAAAAAAAGAGATAGTTTTGATGTACATAAGACATAACACATAGGCCCCTCACATTTCTGCTATCTCTGCAGATTCACACCATTCTTCAAATCCCTTATTGCGCTAGTTCTAAGTCATCACCTCCTATCAAGTAGGCTTCAAGGCAGTCACAAGTGAGAAAAGGAGAAACTTTTCCTTTTTCCACCCCAGAGAGGGCTGCTTAGTCCCCATCTCCTTTAGCTGCTTTTGCTTTAGCAGAAAGACAAGGCCATTGCTGCCGTTGACTCAGGGAAGGCCCTGTCTGCTCTTCTTCCTCGAGGCAGAGCCCCTCACTGTTACCGCCGCTGCTGTGAACATGCTGTCAATGGCGGCAGAAAGGAGATGCACTATTTCTCCTGGCAGCAGGCCCCAGTGAGCAGGTGCCATCTCACCCTGCCTTCACTTGATCCCACTCATTCCTTCACGACGTGATTCAACTGTCCATGTGGCAGAACCATGTGGCAGCTTGGTGAGCAATCTAGACAAAGGAAATCCACTAGAAGACCATTTTTGGTAGTGTTGAACTGAAACATTCCAAAAATCCTATTCAAAGTGTGACCATTACCAAGGTATGTGGTTTACCTTAACTGCCATAATTATTGTACCTCTTGTATGAAGTTATCTGTTCTTCATTTGTTAAGAGTCTCTGCTGGTATTACTCCAGCATCGGGGGGTGGCACGAATGGATCACTTAATGGCCATTCTTAGTGACCCTCTGTTCTGCATACAGATGTGGACAGATGGTAGCAGCTAACGGCTATCTTAATTCTACCGTGACAGTAGCATGTTAGAATACAGCATTGAATGCTTTCAGATTCACCTAAAAAGGAAGCTCATGATGGGCCTTGAAATTAAGAACAATATTTTGTTAATAAGCATTGCTATGTTATATTTTATGGTCTTTTGAAAATACCTTGAATAAAAGAAGATCCTTTCTTAACAACTGATCTGCCTCTTTCCCACTTCTGTCAAGAAGCAACGAACATAACAGGGGGCAGCTGAAGAAAAACAACTCAGTTATGTACAGACAGGTATTTTAAATAAAGTACATGATTGTGCAAAGAGCAGGGGTAATCGTGATCAATGTAACATAGGCAGGACTGTGGCTCTTCCACTCTAAAGCTGAAGGTTAAATAAAGGCTAATGATAGCTAACTAACGCAGAGATAAACAAAAACAAAAAAAAAGTTTGCATCTTTAACATAACTCTCCCCCAGGCAGTCACATAATTATGAAACTTGCTCTTTACATCTTTGCAACCACACCTGGGCCAGTTTCTTATGTTAACTTATGGTAGCACATTCCCCTCAAAAAGAATATTAAAATTCTTCAAAGGCAGAATGATGGAACTGTGACCACTCAGAAATTAAAGAATGAAGTAGGAAAGAAAGAACCACAGGGCAACTTAGGAAAAGTAACACTATTGCTACATCATCCTTATACATTATATCCTCTCTAATATCAATATCAATCTGGCCTTGCTTTGAATGCAGTGACGCTGCTAGTAGTCACTGAGGAATCCTCCTTCACATTGAAATTGTGGGTATTAACCTAGATTTCTCTTTCCTAGTTTCAATTCAAATCAGATGCCATCCCAAAGGGTGAACTTTTGTCTTCTCCCCTGGTTATTTATTTTCTCAAAAGAGCAGTGTATTGCAAATGACTGCCTCTGTTTTGTGACTGTGGTGTCACAAAAGAGGATAAATACATTTAATGATCTAAAAAAAAAAAGATATGAGACAGCTATTCCTACTCCATAATCTAATAGACATACATGCTTAGGAATGACCCTACTTGCCTGAACACAAGAAAATTTCACTCCTGTCTCCAGAGTCTGCAGTAACTCCATAATTCAGGAAGAGGCTGCGGGCCAGGTGACCAGTGGCAGCACCAGCAGCTCTCTCCCAGGTCACACCTCCTGCTTTTGCAAGCACCACTGCACTTGCTGTTGTCATTCTGCATGTGCAAAACAATTCCTAACTATTTGAAAAGCACTAGATTTATAGCACATGCTAACCATCAAGTTTCCCATGGTTCTGCAACGTTTAGGTCTAGCTGCACGTGGTAAGTTTAGCACCTACAGGAAGGTCTGTCATCTAACAGAGAAGGGCAGTACATAACCTTCAACCTGTCACTAGACCAGCTAATACCATGTAGAGTAAACTCACTGGAAATCACTGCTCTAAGCCACACAACATAAGGCAACGCAACCTCAGAGGCTTTCTGTGTTCTGGAAAATCACCATACAATCTGATCAGACAGCATTCTTGAGTAAATGAGGTTTGCTAAGATTCCTTGCAAGTTAAAACTGTTTTAAGGATAATAGTAATTCCTTCATATTGCCTGAGGTATTTTGATGCAACAGATAAAAAAGGGCAATATCTGCAATTTCTCCATTCTGTAAAATACATTCCTTTCTAAAACCACAATATATATATTGTGCAGCATCAGAAATCCATGAGGCAATCCAATAAACTGCTATCACTCTGTGACCAGCTATGGAGAGAGAATCTTCCACTTCCCTCTGCAAAGTAGGCAGAGGACCTTGAGCAATCCTAAGTCCCTATTAATGAATCCTTACCTTCCACTGATGATGTTCGGCATCAAAATAATAAATGAAAGCAAACTCCTCTCCTCTTGAGGATTATGGATTTGTTTTGCAAACTTCAAGACTGGCTGTGACTGGTAGTGGCATAGTTAGTATTCTTACTACTGTGACATTTTCTGGCCTTTCAAAATTACCAGCTATTTTTCACGCCGGAGAATTTTTAATATAAACTCTTCCAAATGTTTGCCTTCATTTTTCTTTCCCTTGTTTTCTACACTACCTCCACTTCCCTTTTTCAAGGCTGATAACAGCCAGCAAATTTCATGCAAATGTGCATTAGGAGTTAGGGGTTTTTTTTGTATGGAAGGATTTAAGTATGACATTAGCTATCATACCCCATTAAGAAGTTGTTTAAGATCAGTTCACAGTTCTCAAAGGAAGACCTGAGGAGACATCACTTACCACAACTTGCAGCATACGGTCATTCTGGGCTTTGGGGGCCTCAGTTAGCATCTGGGTCAGTGTTTGCATCAGTGTTTTTCCAAGAAGAATAACAGATCCAAACATGGCAACAATACCAAACACCATCCCTATGCTGAACCTACAAAGCAAGTAAGTATTTTAGCAATTTAGCACAGTCAAAATATAAGGTGCATTCTTGGGACATTTAACTGCTTTAACTTACTTAGCACACCAAACCTACAGAGCCAATCTTTACAGTGGGACTTGATGATCCTGAGGGTCTTTTCCAACTATAATGATTCTATGATTACCTAGTCACTCTGCTCTTGCGTGCTATACTGCCATCTGTCCATCAACAATAAAGTAGAAAAATATATGCTAAAGGAAACTGATTAATTAACTCACTTAAAACATACACTATTGCCCCTGCTTAACAAGCATTTTATATTCAGCACTACACCCTGATGTAATCCTGATGAAAAATATGTCTTGGCATTAGTTATGAATAAAAACATAACAGAGTAGGAAATGTAGAGTTTACCATGTTTCACATTCTACTGCAAATTTAGAATAATAAAAAAAAAATCAAACTAGGAGGTAACATAGATGTTTATAAAAGCTTATTAAATAAATCATGCATCTTCCTGGCCAGACATAGAAAGTGCTAAAGAACACTAAATGAGATTCAACTTTCCTTAAAGCCAGAAAGATAAAAGATACAAATGCAAACCTATATTAAAATCAATTACTTCAAACAGACTTTTCTTCTATCAATTTTTTTTCATTAAAATTGGTGTTGAAAAATGTTTCAATTTACATCAGTCCATCCAACAGAGAATTTTTATTAGTCATTATTATTATTTCATAACATCCTATAGGGAGGATGTGGTAAAGTTTATTTTCTGCTTATAATAATTCAGCTCACTAGTAGTCCCTCTCTCTCATAATAGCAGTTTTTTTCTTTCACCATCCTAAATGAATCTCACTGGGAATTAGCAAATTTAAGAAGCATGTACTTGTAATGTTAATTAAGGAGACTAGTGGAAATATCACACTGTAATAAATTATACACACTAAAAATCATGAGAGATACAGAATTATATCAAATTGAAAGAAAATTATGACATTCTAGAGGAACCAATATGAAGCAGACTTTCACTCCTCTCTCACTGAGGGCAACAGTACAACAAAGGAAAAAAATTCTAGCCTTATGCATTTTTATTTTCACGGTGAGTATAAAGTAACACTAGGAAGGCAATTCAACAATAATTTTCTACATCAGTTCAGAAGCATCCACAGCCTATCAAGCCTATGAAGTCTTAGCAAGGGAAGGAATGCCTGGGAAATGATTGACAACACAGATATCTTGAATAGCTCCTACACTTTAGTGATCAGGGAGAATTCAGTGTACAGTGAGGGACAAACTGGAGATATGAGAGGCTGCTTTTTGGTCTATATCTACATGCAGTAGTACATGCTAGTATCTATATGCTTAAGAACAACATATAGTTCAAGCTATAAGCAAAAACACAGCTTACAGATCCATAGTGTTTATAGCATCACAGTATGTAACCTATATTAGATACACAAACTTTTTAGCAAAGGAGGAAAGGAGGAAAGCTTATTCAGGAACAACGCGGTTACAGTGTTTTTTTGTTAACCTATCAAAATAACCATGTATATCCACTGCACTGTAAAGAAGAAAGGCACAGACATAGAAATAAACACAAGCTCTGTATTTGACAAAGAAAAAAAAAAAGAGTGGATTTATACCATAGATAAAGAAATCTGGGTTTCCAGCGCCCCCAGTTGTAGAACTGTCGGTTGAAGAGAGCAGTTTGCCATCGCATGTGAAAAGGAGAGACACTCAGGCCATATGTCAGCAGCCAGTCTTCATAAGATGTTTTCAAAGAGCTGGATGACTGCAAAACAGTAGATAATGAGTTTAAGCCAAAACTCTCAGGCAGATTTTATGTTACACATAACATACTACATAATTTACTATACAAGCAGTAAATGTGTTCAGTTTAGATAAAAGGATATGTAACTTCAGGTAAATATCCTCCATGGTTTTTATACTTTGACATATATTTAAGTGTGACACGTAATACTAAAAAGTTATCCTGCTCTTGTGATGCAAATCACAGAAGTTCTAGAACTGTAAAAGGGATCAGGTATCCCATGTTGCTTCGCAAACAAGATGTTATATGGTGTTTCCTAGTGTTCAATCACTATCGGCAAGTTTTAACTGCCTGTTTAGAAGGCTACAAAAGAACTGGCTGCTTGTGTTATTTTTGTCATGTGCTATTAATATCTAGTAAATATTTTAAAAACTATAATAAAGAGGAATAGTTTATTTGGGACTAGCTGCTCCAAGGCGTGAGTGCCTCTGACATAATCCAGACAAGTGTTCACAGCTGCCTGAACTACAGCTCAGCTCCTGAACTTCCCTTTGAGCAGCAAAATCTACCGAAGGAATCGGGACTGCGGGCGTAACGGGCAGCTCCTGTCTGCCCCACAAAAAAAGAAATTCAGAAGCTAGTAGTTATCTTCCAGAACGCTTTAAACAAATTTAAAATACCTCATTTCATTGCACCCCTGCTGTCCTTTTATGGTGTGAGGAGGTGAGAGCATATTTTTGGACAACTACACTTGCATTTTTTTTCACATTTTGTTAAATTAATTCAATTGTGAACATACTACACATTTATTTCAAGTAACAGTCTTCGAGAACATGAGATTGGTTTACTCAGATTATAATTCGTTTATTCATCCACGACAGTATTTTATCCTTTTTACCCATATGTTTGTGCAATTTCCTTCTTCAGCCTACTGATTTGAGTCACATTTTTGTTCAGGCAGCTGAAGACACCTGTAGGAACTTCCATCATAACACACTCCTTAGCCAACATTAGCCATTTCCTATGGCATTGCTAAGATTGACTTCCACAACCAGGTCAGCTAACCCAACCTAACTTTAGTAGCAAGGATCATGAAGATGAGCAACCTTCTACAAATAACACATATGACTGAGAAACAAAAAAAAGGACCTCCCCACTTTATTTAGGAGAAAAGAACAAAAATGCATGTGACATAAGAAATCGACCTCTGGGAAATAAGTAATACCCAATACCAAATATCTGTTTCTTTTGTTTTCAAATGCAAAAAAACACTGTTTTTTTTCCTTGAGAAAATCCACAAATTTATCTCTGTATCATCGCGTTTCAGCTACCTGACAGTCCTACTCTAATAGCTATGCATAAATAAGTTTTTGATAAGAAATACAGACTTACTGATCAATACACTCACCAAATGGAATATATATATATATATTTACATCAAAAGGCACCAAAATTAATTATCCTTTTGGGTTTTCATCACAATTGTGAGGAAAAAGTTGTGTAAATACTCTTCATAAAGAATAAACACCAAATCATTTAAAGAACTAAATTGCACTATTCTTTTGCAAGATATATTAAAGCCTTTATACAAGCTTTTGTTCCTACTGTTCTGATCCTAAGATCAGCACGTGCAAATGCACCCTCACGCCCCAAGCATTTTTACGTTATGTTTCATTTCATGCTTCCTTCCCTGAGGCTTTGGCTCTGCTTCTCCAATTTAAGCTTTAAGTGATTTTTCTTACATTAACTTTACTATGAAAGCAGTATCTATCTTTTATGGATTTATTTATTTTATTTTATTTATGGCAGCCCTCAGGATGATGAAGCTCAACACTGCAGGAGTTCCATAAATACCTGTCAGCAGGCGGGAGTCCTTAACATTCTTTTGTGCTGACAAAGCCTGCTCGACAGCTCTGAACCCTCTCAGCTCCCGACCTTGGAAGCTGAAGGGTGACCTTGGGAGAATGAGTCTCATGCACCTTACAGTGCTCAAGGCAGGAGCAGGGGCAACCTCCTGCACACTTCCTGGCCCTTCAGGAAGGATGGAACGGGTGCTGGGGAGCTGGGATCCGGGAGTCTTCAGGACCTGAATCTCTCATGCCAATGCATTATTGAAGAGCAACAAAAGAGACCTTAAAGCACCAACTGCAAAAGTTACAGCACGAATCTTTCCTTTGCCAAGAATATTAATGGGATTATGTATGGAAAAGCACTCCTGTATGATTTTTCACTCAGGCTCCATATGTCTTTTTGGTATATTTAAAGTATATGCAGTTTGAAGTCCAAATAGGGTCTGTGCTTTGCACAGTTGCTAGCAAGCTAGTGTTATAAATGCGGTGTGACACTTACAATATTAGCAATTAAAATAAACATGCCCAAGTATCGCAATCATGTAAATCTTCTTATTTAATTCAAATTATATTATATTCTATGCAAAAAAATAGATGTTCAAAACAGAACTTCCCACTAAGACATGCACATATCTGATCCACCTGATTTACAGAAATCAAACAGCTCCTAATGACTATTTGTCAACTAACTAACTCACATTTGTCAACTTCTGATTAAAAGATCAAAGTCAAAATTTAACTCCTGGACTCTCCTGCTTGCATTCCAGACACTCCTTTCTCCTTCAACATAAATCAGATACTAAGTTGCCTCCAAACTCTTTTTTTTCCTCTTTGCTAATGCTGAGCTCTACTATAGATTCTAAAAAGAAAAGCAGCAGCTACTCCTACTTATGAAAGCGAATGATTTTAAGAGCTAACTCTAAAATAGATCTTTGGAATCTGAGGGCTATGAATGAGTCCCAGCACAACACTACTACACTAATTCAGGTACACCTTTATAGTCTTAAGATTTTTCATCAGATACAGAGTTACTGTCAGCATCCGGCCACTTAACTGACATTTCTGGTGACTTTCAGTGTGTCTCACCACATTAAAGACTTTGTTTTTACTGTATTCAGCCAATCTTCTAATGTGTTTCTAAACAGTCATGTTTGTCTCCAAATATCTAACACACACTAAAAATATACCTAATATAGAAAAAAAAATCTTCAGAAAAAAAATCTTAATGGAATTTTGTTGTCATTTGTAGGATTAAATGATCTTACACAAACTAATATCTGGCAATTAATAGCTCTCATCATTTACTGAGCCACATTTGTTCTCTAACAATTAGCAGCAGGGGGAGCCACTTACTGCTCAAGTTTCTTCCAAATATAGTTTCCCTGATAACATTTCTTCCTGTATTTTAAAGCAATGGGAAGGGAACAAAAAAGTGTTTGTCACTTTGAAATCGCTAAGCCCTAACACATGCTTGGCAGAAACAAATTCAGTTCCTGAATTGCCACATTAACTTGATGGGGAGAAAAAAAAAAAAAAGAGAGAGAGAGAGAATTACAGATCAAATCTTTCATGCAATTTTTTCTTCACGCTGCTTTAACCAGCAGACATCCTATTCAGCATGGATACTTAGCAGCATCACTCATCCCCGAGAGATTACACCCCTTGATCCTAATCTAAAAAAATAAAAAATAAAAAAGAACAAACAAGCTTGTGTAATGCTTTTTCGCAGATATAACAAATGACGCCTTCCTGATCTATTTTACTCCTTTCAAAGGGAGAAGGGACCTCCCGCGCGGGCGGAGGGCCGGCGAGGCCGCCCTCCGGGGCCGATGCCAGCGCCGCCGCTGTGGGCGCTCGGCTCCGTGCCCGCGCAGCGCTCACCTTCAGCAGCGTGTCCGCCAGGTAGATGGCGCACCAGCCGCCCAGCACGCACACCACCACCGGGATCGGGATCATGGCCGCGGCCGGGCCCGGGGCCGGGGCGGCGGCAACCGCGGCTCATGCAGGGCAGCTCCCGGAACTAAGCGTGCGCCGGAACTCTTCTCCGTCAGCAGCGGTGCCCGGACGGACCCTTCGGAGGGCAGGGAAAGGCACCACAGCGCAGGCGCGGGAGGGCGGGGGTTAAGCGGGAGGCCGGAGGCCGTGAGGGGCCCCGTGCGCTGCGCATGCGCGCCGGGACGGCCGCCCTCCCCGCAAGAGCCGAGCCTGGCTGCGCATGCGCAGCGCGCCGCCGAGAGGGTGGCGCTTCTCTGCTACCGCCTTCTTTGCTAAAGTTACTTAAGATTATCTAGTTCTATATACACACGTATATATGATATATGTAACTGCTTTATGAGTGCGAAGCTCACTAGCTAGTCCCCCTTATGGCTACATGCTGAGTTAATAAAAAGTGCAACGATGTATTTCAGTTGCCATGGGGTCGTTAATCGCGAGACTTGATTTCTCCAGGCTCTTCGGGAGTTGAAACTGTCGCTCAGCTTGAACACTCAAGGCAAACAAGCACACGGATTTTGCACACACTTAAAGTGTGTGAATTGAAACCAAATACATTCATGGTCATGGACTGAGGGTTTTTTCTCATTATTTCTGAAGGTTTTCCAGCAAGTCCAGTTTGCACTGATGGAAGGACTTTGTGCAGCTTAAGGTTTCCAATCGACTTTTTTCTATGCACTTTGGATCAACTTTCTTTGGTCTCAGTTTGTCAGCAATTACTCAGAAGGTCTCTTTTGTAGTAAAATAAATAAATAAAGGCTTATTCCTTCCTTTCAGTAGCTCTTAGGTGTTACTCTGGGTTCAGAGGCAGTTCTCCCAAAAGCAGTAACTGGGCACAGAGAAGCCACTGGGCAAAGCTGGAACTGCCACTAGGAGGAATGCTTGGAAAACCACAGCCTCTCTTCTCCACACACAAAACTGTATAGAAATCATGTTTTTACAGACCTATATTGACATGTGGGCTTTGAATGAAAAATTATGTCAGTCCCTTCCTTTGCTAGTTTTTAAATTTTTGTAGTCACTTTCCTGTTTTTTCCACTCTTTGCTCTTCCCAGATCTGTTGCTGGAAGTTCTAGTGCTTCCCAGAAGGAAGGGTGTCTCAGCTCTGAATTTCAGGGCTCCCTTCCACTGGAAAAATATGATAGCGTAGAATTGCTGAGGGGAAGCAGGAATAAAGGGCTGCATATCAGAAGATGGGATAAACCAGGCAAGCAGCTAAGGGAGAGGGAATCTAGATTTTGCTGCATCTTTATGAGATGGACTGCATACCTGAGCAGTCCCTTGTGACTGGCTCTTTTTGGGGGAAAGGTAAGAACTGTTAATACTGTGCCTTGTTTTTTTTGCTCTCTGCTTGGTGAATTTCACTGGTTCAAACATTAGAGATTTTTCGTGCCAAGTTTCAGATCTCTCACTGCTTTTAAGTCCTTACACTTTGGTTTGAGCTGTTCATGTTAACTGATGCCTTACGAGAACTTTGAAAAGAATTTAAAAAATTTATCCAACTCTACCTTGACCAGAATAGTTTGCACACTGATACAAAAAACTTTGAGACAGCCCCACCATCAAACAAAATTCATAAACAGAGTCCTAAAATAATCATTTTGCTATGACTTCTCTGCAGTAATTCCTGTTCTACTGTATTCAATTGAAAACCATAGAGCAACCTTGCAAGTATGTTTAAATCTACACTCTATTGGTTGAAAATTCAAGTTTTTCTCTGCACCAACAAGCATTGACACTAATGCTGACACTAATCTTCAACTGTAATAGGGGGCAATCTCATTGAAACTGTTAGGAACCTGAATACATTCACTAGCAGCATAGACCCATGAAAGTGAAGTGTAGTAAAGTGAGCACTGTGCCTTGCTAGTTAAAGGATTCAAAGGATAAACAGTGTTTTTGAACACTTTTGAACTCTTGAGTGCAGAAGATACACGTTCAGGGTGGACTGGAACAGTTAGCCCCATTTCTTCTCATTTAGTGCATGTTGGTCATGACTGGCAAAATTGATCCTTGCCACAGAATGACACTATTACAGAATAGTCATTACAGAAGAGATTGCATTTAGGATTTTAAAAGCTACAGTATCCATGATGAAACATCTACATTAGTTCCAGGGCTAGCACAGGCACACACTTTTTAATATTGTTTGTTTTTCCTTACAGCCTCATGTTAAGCTGAAGTAGTTTCTAAAGCAAAGTATCATACAGTAATCAGGTCAGTGGACAGTGTCCATAAATAATTACAGAGCAGGCTGACTATTATAGTTCTGAAGTCACAGCTGAGCTGTGGGATAATGGAAGAGCACAGGTGGACCTCAAAAGGGCAAACATCCAAGAACGTTAGAAAAGGATAATATGTGCACTGGTACCTAAATCCGTGGAAAATCTTAAGAATAAAATTATTAATAAGAATATTCTTAGTATTTTTAAATGCTAACATAATAATATTAATTAAATGCAATTTGGCAAGTAATTACCAATCCATCTGTTAATAATACATGAATTGAGATATTAAAAAATTCGGTTGGTGGCTTAATATTCTAAACATCTCTTTCTAGAAAATTCAATAGCAAATGCATTTGTTTTAAGATTAATTATTAACATCTGAGAATTAATCTCTTCAGCTTTGGTCTGTTACTGGAATAGATCTGTGGTTACTCAGATATTACCACAAACTTCCATAATATATTGCAAAATAAAAGAAAGGACAGCCTTAATGCTGCAAAAAGCCTTAATATTAGAAAGGTTTGCAAGGCTTCAGGGAGATGCCTGCTCATGGTTCATAGTAGGCTCAGGCAGAAAATGAGCTAAGATGTGGATTTTGACATGGAGAGGTTGTAAATTATGCTAATTTGAAGCCCAGTACAGTCAGAACATGACTTGGTTTAATAATGCTTGAAACTGGAAGACGGCATTTTTTTAGGTGTGTTTTGAGTAGTATTTAATAGTAAATTGTTGGGTTTTGAGAAATAGCTATGCAGAGAAAAGGAAAGCTGGATCAAAACATTACTTTTAGCCTAGCTTGAAACAAAGGGCCGCCTCCTTGGAATATGTGGATGGCTGCAGAATGAAGGCCTGCGTCCAAAACAGGAGGAATGGATGGGTGATGATCAAAGGGAGGGTCAGTTGAAGAGCTGTGCATGTCACGAAGTTGCTGCTGGAGGAAATAAAAAGATCAGAATAAAGAAGAAATCTGAAACGCAAGATGCAGGGCCTAGCACACTATAGAAATGTATATAAAGTTGATTGTCAATATCTGAAAGACAACGCCATCTCTCCACTCCAAAATTATTATCTAAAAATGTTGGCATATGGGAGAAATCCAGGTAGTGAGAACAGGTAATACAGGTAATACGTTTTGTGGGTTTGTTTTTTTTCCTAACTAAAATACAAAGAAACCTTGGGTCTCCTGCTGTGCTTAGGAAACAGAAGAGCCACATGTGATGCAATTTTCTCAAGAGGTTTCTAAGTCCCAATTCCAGTGTAAAACAGTTTTGCTTTATTTAAATACAATTGAGGTCAAAGTATTCTGTTAAGTTCCAGGATTTGTTTGCAGTAGGAGTTGACTTTTAAGATGAGTGAAATTTGTTAAGTCACTGTTCATATGAACAGTGTTAAAAAAAAATCCCAAGCATTCATACAAACATACCTTTACTAGGTTCATGTGCTACAAAGAATAGTTGTATGTTATTTTTCAAAAGTTATTAATGGACAATGCTATATCAAAAATAAAATACATAAATAAAATAAAATAATGCCTTTCTTAATAATGTTCACCTTTTAGTGTTTTCCGATCTGTCCAAATTCGGTTAGGTACATCACAACAGAGATTATATGTAAAAGAAGGCCTTCCAAAGCTGTTGTACTCCAAGGAAAAATGGGTATAAGACTCTAAAGAAAAAAAAAGGAAGAAACCTGAGAGACAAATGTGGCTCAAGTATTCTAGACTGCAGTTCTGTGAGGCTGCTGGTATTCATTTTAGCCGGCAGTCTGGAAGCTTGCTCTCTTTGCTGGGCTTTGTATCCTTTACAATCATTTACATTGCATGAGAAAAAGCATGCAACATCTAATGCAGAGTAGCTGTGCCACATAAACTCCTCTGCTGGAATGCTTTTACACCACTGAAAGCCTCTTTTCAAAAATGGATTTACTTAAACTTTTAAAAAGGCTCCATCTGTGAAGGAGGAGAGGGCTCCAGGGAAGCTAATGCCAAATATCTGTTTCGTTTTCTTGTTTTTTAAATTTGTCCTGCAGTCTGTAGGTACGCTAACCTCCACTGCAAAATAAATATGAAATAGTTCAAATATAATGGGTATTGTTTCATGCTCACTATAACCTGTAGTAAATATGATAGCATTAGACCTGACTAAAATCTCGTAGGGAAACTTGAACCTTAGAAATAGAAGTGCACTTGGTTTGATTTTTTTTAGGTCAGCAGGCTGCAGCGCTAACGTTCACCTGGGTGTATTTGGCACGTAGCTCTTCTGACTGACACACGGATGTGTCTTGCCCAGGAGCAGCTGCTGAAGTTACCAGCGTAGCTGCCCACCTTGGCTGCCCGATGGCTGGAGCAGCGCCGCACTCGCTCCAGCGCAGAGCGCAGCGCGTGTTGAACCGGCACGCCTCTTGCTTTGCCTCAAGGACCCGGCTGCAAGGAGTTGCTTCTTGGCCATCCATGCAGTGGATCAACAGAAATCCTCACAGATGTCCCTGTACAGCCCCTGCACTCACCTGGGAGTCAGAACCCCCTATAAATCATCCATGGTAAAACCAGGGCTTTACCTTACACAGGTTGATTTGTGTCAGGAACCTTAGCTAACAACTTTTCCTTTTTCCTCATAAAAATAAAGCCTCTATATGAAAGCTGTCTGAAACAAAGGTGTGAACATTTTCATGTAACCATCGAATGAAGATCATGCTCTGGCACCTGCCTGCTAGTTGATAGGAAACCCGGACAGAGCAGCCTG